TCTTTCCATAAAACTAGAGGCAGCATGACATAGAGAGCTAATTAGGAAAACATGGCACATACAAGTTATATGACTTTAAGCAACTCATTTAATTTGTCCACTATTTAAGTAGCTCTATAAGACTATAAATTGTTGGGGGGGGGTTGTTTGTTGGTTTGTTTTTAACCAATCCAAATCTTCAGGTCATTAATTTTGTGTTACAATCCCACAGCTACCTAGTGCAATGCCTTGTAGATTGTAGTCACCTAATTTTTATTTAACTGATTTTAATGACACAAACTCGCATCCATCCTTACAGTTTCCATAAGTGGTCCAATTTACTAGATTACTTTGAAGTTGATGAATATAGCTTTGAATTTGATCTGTATGTGAGATTTCTCTCTGTCTTTCCATTCTTTTTCTGATATTCCTTTCCAGGTGCCCTCTGTGTCTCTAAATAATTTGCATTGTTTCACTGAATTACATCAAGATTCAGCAAAGAGAATGCTATTGTTGACATCAAGCCATGATAAGAATATGCTAAACATTAAGAGTACCATCATTTTTTATATGGCAATTGTATTTTTTTTTAATTTTCACTCATCTCAGATTATAGGAGAATATGGCTGGGGAAGTACTTTGAAAAATAGCTTTTTAGTAAAGGGTTTGTAAAGGACTTTTCTGCAAACACTCCTAATAAGAAAAGGTTAATCATCAAAAGTAATAAAACAGATCAATAAAAGTTGTGGAATATTAGCAACAATTTTTTTAATGTTTTGTACATTTGATATATTTATATTTTAGAGGGTTTTTTAAATTTTGTTTATATATTTTTTGATTAACAAATATTTGTTTTCTCTCTTCTACTATTGTCCATTTATATGGGAGATTTAAAGAGGCAAGGATTAGGGTGAATATCCAGACCTGCATTTCCTTTTTCCCTTTCTCACATCACAGCTTACTAGCTCTTCATTGGTTTCCAGGTGGTTGTTGAATGTTTTGTGGTTGGGTTTGTCATTGTTGTAGTTTTGGGATGTTTCACCCCCACACACCTCACTAAAATCCTCTGGGGCTCAGAGACCATTAAGACAAATATCTTCCCCCCAGTAGATGCAATAGAAGCAATCTGAAAAGCTTTGGTAATGCTTCCTGCTTAAAGACAGAAATTATTGTTTCCTTTTCATAGATACAGGAACCAGGGCACTGAGGAACTCAGTGTCTTCACTGGGTCAAGTAAGAATTTCATGACAGAGTATGTTGAGAATTTAGCTGTGTTGGTTTCACAAAACGTTCCGTCTACCCTGTAGCACCAAAGAGACACAGAAGTTGGGGGAGCAGAGAACGTGAGAAAAGACACAGAGGTATCAATCACCATAGCCCATTCTCTGGTAACTGAAAAAACCCACTTGCCTAAAGAGAGAATCTATTAAACATAATTTTTATAACATTGGAAATTTGGCAGCAGAGTTTTTGGCTCCTTGACAGTCTTCCTTTCAGTGACCTTATTGCCCCTTGGGTCCCTGTCCAACCTGGGCTCAGTCCTCCCTAGTAGTCCTTTTCTAGCCTTAGCACAGCAGAGGGAAATGGAGCTGGCATCAACTCTAACTCTCTTTACTCTCCAAGCTAATTTGCATGACATCTTTCTCCCATTTTCTCCATGAGTGAAACTCAGATAGCTGTGACATTGGAAGGGCTGTGATGAAGAATTCTCAGTAAAGACTTATTGACTAATATCTCAATGTGTTACATCTCTCAGTGGATCTTAAAATAAGATAAACAGATATGTTTATGTAAGAAACTGATAGAGCAAGATGAAGCTCAGGAAGTGTTACAGAATGAAATTTCACTTCCAGTTGTTACTGACACTGTCAGCTATGTCGCTTATGAAGAGAAGGTCATTTAACACTTCTAAGCCTCAATTTCCTTATATATAAAATGAGTCAAATAACCTATAGTGAAGGGCACATAGGTGGATAAAGTTCTGACCCTGGTATCAGGAAGACTCATTTTTGTGAATCTCAGACACTTATTAGCTATGTGACCCTAGGCAAGTTGTTTGACCCTGTTTGCCTCATTTACTCATTTGTAAAATGAGCTGGAAAAGAAATGGCAAACCATGACACCATCTTCGTCAAAAAAAATTTGAAATGGGATCTTGCAGAGTTGAGGACAACTGGGAATGACTGAACTAAAACCTACTATGGAGAATTCACAAGACAGTTGTCAGCATTAAAGGAGCAAAGGTATGCATCTTCTACATAATAAAGAACTATATAAATACCAGTTATTATTATCAATCTCTTAATTCATTAAGGAATTACTCTAAATGTAAAAAAAAATTGAAGTGGAGACATATTTGGAAAAAAGACAATTTTCCTAGAGTTCTTCAAACAGTTGAATTATGACAAACTACCACCAGCTAATACACATTTACTAAGGCCCTATTATAGAAACACATAAAAGAAAACAAAGAGACGTGAAAATCATTCCTATCCATCTGGGCAGCTGCCGGGTGGATCAGGGAAACAGCAGTAAAGACAGCTTCTCAGTATTCTCTATTTATATAAATAAGCTCCTATCTCTGTCAACGATTCCGTACGGATTTCATTGCTTGCCAATGGTTCTAGAAGAGTGGTTTTTGGGGAAGCAATAGATTATGTGTTACTGCTCTTCTACACTTTGGGGTTTCTGAGTATTAAAATAGTTTCAGGGGGAAATTAATGAAGAAAGGAAATAAATATTTACTAGGCAATTTCAAAGGATACTAAAAGGAACCCTATGAATTGATGCAGAATAAAGTGAAGAGAACTAGAATAATTTATACAACGACAACATCATATAGCCCAACAATATTGAAAGACTTTAGAATTCTGACTGGTGCAATGGAAAACCATGTCTAGATGGCTGAAGATGAACCCACCTCCTGCTAGTGAGGTGATGGACTTAAAACATGGAACAAAGCATACATTTTGGACATAGTTAACACTAGAATTTGTTTTGCTGAACTATGTATATTTTTCACTTGGGCAGATAGGTGAAGCAGTGCGCAGAGTACCAGACCTAGAGCCATGAAGACATCTTCTTGAGTTCAAATATGGACTCGTTCACTTACTAGCTGTGTCACCTGGGCAAGTCACTTAATCCTGTTTACTTCAGTTTTCTCATCTGTAAATGAGATGGAGAAGGGAATGCCAAATCACTCCAATAGCTTTCTAAAAAAAAAAGGGGGGGTCACAAAGATTTGGACACAACTGAAAATAACTGAATAAAGACAAAAAAATGACTTATTGTATGTCAGTTAAGGTGCTAAGCACTTTCCAACTATTTTGTCATATGATTTCCCCAGCAACTCTGGGATGTAGGTACTAGTATTATCCCCATTTAATAGTAGTGGAAAGTGAGGCAGAAAGATATCAAGTGACTTGACAAGAGTTACACAATTACTGAGTATCGGAGGCTTGATCTGAACTAATATCTTGATTATTCCAGGCCTAACACTCTATCCATTTTGCCAACTAGCAGCCTTTAGAGAAGAGAAAGGAAAGAGAAACTGATCTATGTTATTATTGACTTATTGATTCTCTTATTATAGAGATATGATTCTGATCTCCAGGCCTTGGCTACACTCTGAGATACTTTCCAAGACCCCAGGGACTCACCCTTTATATAGGTGACAAATTAATTGACAAAGACCTCATGGCAATACAAAGAATAATTCTGTCATTAAGTTTGTGTATGAAATGTCTTTTTTCATTAAATTTTTATACTCCAAGAACCAGTTTGAAGAGTGTAAAGCATTTTATAAATACAGTAAATAGATTACTATTAAAAGTAATATTAACACCTTTGAGTCCTTATTTTGTTTCAAAGTTTAATTCAGGGTCCACTTTCTGCAGGATGGTTCCCTCCCCATCCTCTCAATAGTTTATATTTGTTTTAGTTTGCATATAGTTATATGTAAGTGGTGTCTTCCTGATAAAACATATACTCCCTGAAAACCTGGACTTAATCATTTTTTTGTCTTTTTAATCCCCAGATCCCAGCACAGAGCCTGGTACAGAGTAGATGTTTAATAAATCTACATTGACCGGTCAATTTAGTCAGAATTTTACATTTAGAACTTTATTTGGCCCCTGTGCATTAATGATATCAAGTAATTGTCAATATGTCTATATATTTGTATTTATTCTAAGTAATGGAGTCAATTTTTTATAATCATTAAGGAAACATGCCAATTACACTTGCAGAAATATTGAATTAACATATTTATATCCATCATCTCTGTCTATATGCAACATATAGGAACACATATACACATCCAAGAAGATATAATGTGTAGATCTACATCTGTTATTGATATAAATATATCTATTCATATCTTGATCAATTGATAGCTCTATATATACATATATAACATATATATGTTATATAAATATTTACATATTTACAAAATATGTAAGGAAGACAACTTGCTAGCTATAGATATCTATTTAAGTAAACATATTATATACTACATTAATTAAATATGTTTAAATATAGTTAGATGATAGCTAGATAGCTAGATAGATAAAGATAAAATAGACATTAGCATAATGCAGATCTAGACAGAGACAGTCATAGATGATATAGAGAAAGAGATAGAAATGATATAGAGATGAGAGAAAAAAAGAAGGAATGAGAGAGAAGATCACAGCAGCCACAAAAAAGAAATTCTTGAGTGACGAACTGAAATGATAGTTTTTAGTTGACACTAGTCATAGATTATGGTGTAGAGTGTGAAAGATTTGCCTAGGGCTTAGCATATATGATATAGGAAGCTGGAGGAACATTATCATTGACTACAGGATGTTAGACCCAGAAGTGTCCTTTGAACAAGAATATTAAAATTGTAAAGTATCTTATAACATTGAATATGGAATGTTATAATTGAAACAGCACAGAGAATATCATGTCGAACACCTTTAATCTGAAGCAGGAGAAACTGAAGTCCACGGAGTTTAAGTGACCATTCACTGTTTCCACAGATAAAACATACAGAAAGAATGATAGGAACAAATTTTACTGATGTGGTGGGATTTATTCTCCTTGGATTTTCAGATGACCCCAACCTACAATGGCTTCTGTTTGGGATTTTCTTGATCATCTATGTGAACATTCTTATAGGAAATGGCCTCATCATTGTCATAACCAAGACTGATTCAATTCTCCAAACACCAATGTATTTTTTCCTGGGGAACTTTTCATTTTTGGAAATTTGTTACACCTCGGTCACCCTCCCCAAAATGTTGATGGATCTTTGTACCAAAAACAGAAATATTTCCTTCCTGGGATGTGCTGTGCAACTTTGTTTCTTTCTTATTTTTGGAGTCACTGAGTGTTTTCTCTTGACTGTCATGGCCTATGACCGTTATGTGGCTATTTGCAAGCCTCTCTACTATCCTCTTATCATGAACCACAAAGTTTCTGTCTGCTTGGTGCTTGCCTCTTGGATTGGTGCAATTCCTGGTCAGATAGGACAGACATATCAGATTTTCTCTCTTCCCTTCTGTGGTTCTAACAAACTGAATCATGCTTTCTGTGACATTACTCCAGTACTGGAGGTGGCCTGTGGGGATATCTCTGTGAATGAGTCTGCCATCTATGCTGGTACTGTGCTCTTTGCCATGGTTCCCTTTCTGTTGATACTTACATCCTACAGCAGAATCATCAGCAGCATCCTGAAATTGCAATCAGCCAAGGGGAGGCACAAAGCCTTCTCCACCTGTTCCTCCCATCTCATAACAGTTTCATTATTCTTTGGGTCTGGTATTATTATGTATTTGCGACCCAAGTCCAGCCATTTAACAGGAACAGATAAAGTGTTTTCTCTTTTCTACAATATGGTGACTCCAATGTTCAACCCCCTGATATATGCTCTGAGGAACAAGGATGTCATCATAGCAATGAAAAAATTTCTACCTGCCTAGTCTTGTGGAACAAATAGCTAAATTTAATGGAGATTCTATTTCTTTTCCATTTGTCTCATGATTCCTATTTTTAAAAATGTACTTTTGGTTCTTTCTTTCATCTGTCTTTGAAATCTTTTATCATTTCCAGCTAATAATCTCTAGTAATGGAATATTCCATTCTCATTTGCAGAATTGTCATCTGTGTCTACATACAATCAAAAAGCAAATTCCATCCATCTTTAGTAATTTTCTATAAAAGTACTGTCTACCTTCTTGAAGAAAAATATCAAACTAAGGTTATTGTTTCAATAATCTATAATAAGATCATGTACAATGTGATAAACGTGCAATCAAGTTAACAAGGTTTTTTTTTATTGATTTATTGATTACTAAATACTAGCCATTGTATTAGAGCACTAGAGATACAAAGGAATGTCAAAAGACAGTTCATGCTAACAAGCTTACAGGTTAGTTAATAGATTCTGCTTCTGATGTTAAATAATTATACTAGACAAATACACTAGACATATCATTAAGATGTCTTCTGCCACTATTTCCCCATTCTCTATATTCTCACATAAAAGGTCATTCATTGAAAGTTCCTTTTTTTTTTTCTCATCCTCATCTCACATCATTAAGATGTCTTCTGCCATTCAGGTCACCTGTGGCCTCCTCTCCCTGAGTCTTCCCAAGGAGTTTGACCAGGACCCAGGGACAGCACTTAGGCCTCTGACTTCTCTTGTCATGTCAAGGCTTCTCAGACCATACCCATTTCAAATGACCAGTTTTGCTTCCTGTCCAGACTGCCCTGGCCTGTACCTATGACTACCCTTGCAAACAGAGAGATGTCCTCCTGAGCCTCATAGAACTCAATAGCGCTACCTAACACCAAGCTGGAACTTGAGGCAGGACCATGAAAAGATAAACCCCCTCCTCTCCTGATTAGATTTCTCTCTAGGCATTGATAATATACATACATATATATGTATATACACACACACATATATGTATGTGTATGTGTGTATATATACACATGTGTATATATACACACATATGTGTATGTGTGTATATATACACATGTATATATACACACACATACACATGTGTATATATACACACATATGTGTATGTGTGTATATATACACATATACATGCATACATATGTGTGTGTATGTATGTGTGTGTGTATGTATGTGTGTGTGTATGTATGTATGTATGTATATTTAACTCAACCTTCTCTGGCTAGCATAATCAGACCTCATAATACTATTCCCAAGGCAGTGTTCTTTTCCCCAAGCTCTCAGAACACAACATTGGTAACCCATCCCACATTTATTGCTCCCTTACTCTCTACTGCCCCTGCTTTCCTGCCTCTAATCTGTGCATTGCCTCTTCCCGTTAGATTGTAAGCAACTTGAGAGCAGGTGCTGTATTTCTTTTTATTGATTGTATCTCCAATGCTTATTACAGTGCCTGGTACATAGTAAATGCTTAATAAATGTTTATTTGATTGAATCATCTGGGTGGCATAGTGGATACAATACTCCACCTGCAGTCAGGAAGACCTAAGTTCGTATCTGACCTCTGATCATTACTAATTAAATGTATATAGTCAAGTAACACACTGTTTGTCTTGTCTCATTTTGCTCATCTATAAAATGAAGTTAATAATAGCAACTACCTTCCTGGTTTATTGTGAAGATAAAATGAGATAACATTTATCAAGCATTTTGCAAACTTTAAATTGTTATGTAAATTTAATTCTTATTACTATTCTTGTAAGAAAAAATGTATATGAATACTTCTAAACATGTTAAAACTTTTTAAAAATGTTATAGAGCAAAGAAAGAATCTTGAAGAAGAATAATGAAAAGGAAACTCAATTTCAATATACTTTTTAGGTCCACACACTTAATACCTATGTTGTCCCACCAATGCATTTGGATTTAATGTTGTTGTTTTGTTTTTACCCTTCATTTGCCAAGAGTAATGACATCAATGGGGTAATGTCTTGACTCAAATATAAATTGGACTTAAGGGAGGCAGAGTTGAAGAAAGTCATCAGCCTCGTTCTCTCTTCCAGGGTCATTGAAGTCCAGTGACATGGCAAAAGTGAGGAAAATCGGCAATGGCCTGGGCTGCAGTGGGTGACTGGTGTTAATAGTCAGAAAGTCAGTACAGTCAGTTCAAAACAAGGTGTTCAGTGAAAGGGCAGAATAAGACGAATAGCAACAGAATACTGTGTCTGAGGTATATTCTCTCAGAAAAGTCCCATAGTGCCAGTGGGAAGAGTGGACACAAAGAATACAAGAGACCCTTATTTAGAGAGTAGGTATGGCCACAGCAGCCAAGTGGGAACATCATAGGTCATCAGGCCTAATGCAGAGAAGTATTTAGTACAATGGGGGACTGTTCGCCAGAAATAAGGTTTCAGGCAAAATCATTAGAAAAATCTTTCAGATATTGATACAAATGGGCAAATGGTATAATAGTCGAGACAACCATAGCAAAGAGTGAAATAATCTTTAGCCAATGATATTTTTAAATATGTCTAACTAAACACTAAATATAAAAAAAATGCTATAGATTGTAGATGTTTTCAGGTTTTTTTTTTAATAGGAAGGAAATTATATATTATCACTTTATATGAAATTAAATGATATAGCTGTAATTACCCAAACTAACAGGTAGTGATTTAAATTAGAAAATGAGAATAGTAGAATATGCTGTTATCAAGACCTTGAAGTAAATGCATTCATCAGCCTATTGATCAATAAAGTATGTAATACAAACTACTTTGTGTGAGACTGTGAAAGTGGAACTTTTGGGAAAACTGGAAAAGATTTGGTAGAAAACGAGTCTCTATCAATATCATATATGATACTTCATTTTAAATGGATAAACATCTAAATAAATAACATCTAAAAAAAGTTACCGTCTCTTTTGATAGATAATAAGGGCTACATCTTTCATAACTGTGAATAAGGGAAGAACTTGGTTGAATACAATTACAAATAGATAAAATAGGAGCTGTCGATTTTATATGAGTGAAAATAAAAGTTTTGCACAAGCAGAATAAATTCAATTAGAATAAGAAGGAAACACTGGAATTTGGGGCAAGTAATGCACCAAAGATCACTGTTAAAAACTTGACTTTGAAAATGTAAAAGATATTGACACAGAATTATAAGAATAAGAGACATTTATTAATAGATAAATGGTCAAATGATGTGAAGAATTTTCAGGGGAGGAAATGCAAACTTTAAGCGATCATTCCTAAAATAAAAATAAAGATCTTAAACAATAAGGAAAATACAATTTAAACAAATCCAAAGTATTACTCTTAAAATTCAAAAAAATTATAAAAGTTAGGACAAACAAAATTGCAGAAGTTAGGACAATACAGGCACACTCTTGGTGGAGCTGGAAATTGGTTCAATTTTTCTTGAATGTAATTTGGAATTATTTGGAATAAAATTATTATAGTGTTTATACCCTTGGAATCAGCAAGTCCAGGAATTACCTTTTGAAGTTCAATGACAGAAAGATAGGATACATTCATCAAAAATTTTCATAACAGTGCTACTTGTAATAGAAACAAACAAACAAAAAAGTTAAAAAGAGTGTACGTAGTGATCTGGGAATGGCTATACCTACTGAGTAGAATGCAACACAATTAACATCAAATATAAACATTTCAGACAAACATGGAAATATTTCTAAGCTACGTATACTGGAAAGCATGTTAGGCTTAGAGTAAGAGAATTTAAGTTCAAATCCTGTGTGACCGTGGGCAAATCACTGAACTTCTGTTTCTCAGTTTCTCCTTTGTAAAATGAGATAATTGGACTAGATATATCTAAAGTACTTTCCCAGTGTGTAATTATATACTTGTGAGCTTGTGTCACATAGTGAAGTAATCAGAAGATATAAACATAAATGCATACAAAAAATGCACACACAAATATATAAATGCATGTGTGCATGTTAATATATTTGAGTTTTATATTGCATGTTATTTGGAAATATATACAGATCTAAATGTACATCTATCTATCTATCTATCTATCTATCTATCTATCATCTATCTATCTAATGCATGTTACATACAAATTCATTGTTATATAGTTATGTACAGTTATATACATATAACTATGTACATATCTATCTATATGTCTATTATAATACATCCAAATATAGGAACATGTGTGTATTGCATATATGAATATGTGTATACATATATACACACACATATAAGTATGTGACACATGTGTGTAAAATGACTACATCACTGAAACCAAAGGTAATACTGAAATGACAAAACTTCTTAGGCCAATGACGAGAAACAAATTAAATGCCCTATCCTTTGCCTTTGTTAAATACTTGTGTCTCTCAGAAACCATATCAAACACTATTTTCCACAAAGAGAAATGCTACAGAGAAAACAGCATTTGATTAAGGGTATTCTGGCTTACTGTTTCTAAGAGTTGACCTAAATCATTCAATCTAACATATTTAATCTCTTTTTGCTCAGTTATTTTTCAGTTGTGTCCATTTCATTTTATGACCCCGGTTAGGATTATCTTACATTTCTTTCTCTAGCTTATTTTATAGATGAGGAAACTGAGCCAAACAAGAATAAGTGACCTGCCCATGTCATATAGCTCTAGTAAATATCTGAGACCGGATTCGAACTCAGAAAGATGAGTCTTCCTGACTTCAGGCCCAGCCCCTATCCATTATCATCCAATATCAATAACAGTAACCCACATGTACTGTTTAAACAAAGATCTCCTCTCTGTTTAACTAGAAAATGAGCAGTGCTTAAAAAATATTAGGGCTAGACAGTAGCCCAGGGATCCCATTGATATAGGAAATTCTTGAATGAGAAAACTCTAGTAATACAACCCAGTACTCTAAGTGTTGTGAGCACCTTAAGTAAAGAGACTTACCCAAGGTCAACAATATGTGTTAGAAATGAATTTAATGTCTCCCTGGCTTTAAAGCTTACTCTCAAT